CCCAACCCAAGCAGAAAACAAAGAAATCCCCGTGACGGATCAGAAGGCAAAAAGGAGTCTTTTTATCAAAATACCGCAGGACCCACAATGCGCTCCGAAGGAGCGCGTGGGTCCGAGGAAGGAGTAGGCGCCGCACTGAGCGCTGTGGCCGCGAAGCACTTATGAAACTGGAATAGTTGAATACTTGAAAACTTGAATAGTTGAAGTAATATTTGAATACTTGAATTCAATTTTCACGTTTGACACTACTGCCTAACCCAACCCAACCCCATCCAACCCATGATATCTACAGGGTGGTCCAGAAGTTACTTACCATAAAGGATATTCCATAATAACTGAGGACCAGAGATGTTGAAAAATTTGAATTTCCTGGAAATGGGAATTTTCCATGCCCTCGCTTTGTTCATAACATAATTCAATATTTTTTTCTCAAGTTTGCTTTAGTCATAAGCTATTGCTATAAAATTTTAATTCATTTATACATAATAGATTATCTCGGTTGCATATTGAATTAATGCTTATGATTTTTACTAGGAGGTCATATGGTTATCATATTAGTGTATGATTCAAGTTTCATATACTTTTCATATTATTCTTTATTCAAATTTCATCTTTTGTATAGCTTAACAATATATGAGAATATAATATAAAAAATGCTGTAGAGAAATATCTGTTTCACATAGAAATATGTGGTAAACAATGGTCAACAATAGAAAATGTATCAGAAGTAGCAACAAAAGGAAAAACATAATCAAAAATATGTGTTCACTATGACAGATAGTGGGTGGCTCGTTCGAATTATAAATTCGATTTCGAATAAAAATTTTTCTTTTTCTTTTCTTTCCAGAGTGATATGGGTGGTTCGTTGGAATTATAAATTCGATTTCGAATAAAAATTTTTTTTGATGGAATTATATGGGAGCTTCATTCGAATTATAAATTCGAATTCGAATAATAAATTCGAATTCGAATAAAATTTATTTTTTCTTTTTTTGTCAGAGTTATATGGGTGGCTCGTTCGAATTATAAATTCGAATTCGAATAAAAATTCTTTTTTTTGCCGGAATTATATGGGAGCTTCGTTCGAATTATAAATTCGAATTCAAGTAAAAATTTATCTTTTACTTTTTTGGCCGTAGTTATATGAATGCCTTATTT